GAACTTATTAACATAATCCAAAAAAATCAGAATGATTGTCATTTTATTTTTACCTGCTTTTTTTACTCATGTAATTATAATCTTTTTATGAATTCCTGCCTCCCTCTTTTCACCGTACATGCTTCAAGAAACCGTTACATCATGAGATTGTTGGTGTGTTTTATTAATTTTACGGAAAGATACATAATTAGTAGGCTTCCTTTGCACTTAAATACCCCAAAGTTTCCTCCCTTTTAACTTTGATACGAACCTTCTTTACGCCCAAAAAAGTATCCCAAAATCCAACAAAGTTTAACTTTGAAACCCCAAAAAAATTTATAAAAATTAACGAAAATATTACGTTTTAGGGAAATTTGGTTGAAGTTTGGGGTATATTTTGGGTTTAAAAAACTCTGGGTATCAAAGTTAAAAATGAGGTAAGCTGTAGCATTTTGATACTGGCAAATTGTGTCAGAGGTTAACATTTTCTTCAAGTATCATCCAAATTGTTGCTTAACAGTTACATTAATGCTTCATCGATCTTTTGTCTCTCAGGTTGCAGGACCGATAGTTTTTCGCATGGATTCAAGAGTTTCGCTCAGTTCACCATCAGGGAAACATGTTCCTCATGTCGACGATATCATGTACGCATTGAGCTACTCTCTTCGGATGCTAAAGTCTGGTAAGATATTGGCTTGGTACTCTCCCAAGAGAAAGGAGGCAATGGTGGAGCTTAGGTTCTTTGAGTTTTAGAGTGAAATGTAGTGTGAAATGTACTTGTTTGGTCATCCTTTGTGCAAATGTTGCGCTTTGCTAAATTTTGCCTTTGTCATTGTAAAATGTGGAACTCGATTCCTTGTTCATGGAGATGTTTGGACTACTAATTGTTTATCAACCAAGTATTGGATCATTTTAGGAGTGGAATTTTTGTCCGGTGTTTGTGCTTGAATGAGATATTTTTAAGGACAGATGAGAGAGAGAGCACTTGGAAAATCCTAAAAATTAAAAAAATGAAAAGATAAGAAGGGGAAAAAAAGAATGACGGAACACAAACATTTCAATGAATCCCTTAAGTGCTCAGCTGCCATCATCAATGAATTCTTCTGTGAACTATTCTGGATTTTTTTTGTAAGTATATTGTTTTGTTTAATAGTTATGAGAAAACATGATGATAAAATTGTAGAAATAGAAAAACGACAATTTCATTAGAAATAGCCGATTGGAACCATAGATCGCATGCATGTAAAATTTTTTTTTGTTAATGAAAAATGAGAGCAATTACTAGATCCTGCTAAATATCAAATGACATTCACACCCTTTTCATAATATATCATATCATACTTCCTTTAAAAGCACGAATTCGGAAAATCTTTTTTAGACAAATATACCCCTTTATAGTTTGAACTACCTTATCTATAATCAAATTCTAATTTTTAATGGTCAATATTACCCTTCACTATTTTGAATATTTTATTTATATCTTAATCTATCCTAATCATAATCATATCTTATCCTAATCCTATGTGAACCATGTTTAGCTTAACAATTTAAAAAAAACTAATATTAATAAAATATATAAAACATAAAAATGATATTAGTTTGTTAAGATAAAGAAATTACAAGTAGATAACATATTATAATACATGAAGTATTGTAAAAAAACCATAAATTTTTTTAAAATTACAGAAAAGACCCTAAAAAGTTTAAAATTATAAAAATCATCTCAATGTCTCAAAACTTAAAATAAAAAACATGAAATTAAAAAATTAACATAAGTTTGCAAAGAATTTAAAATTTACAGTTAACACCTTAATGTCTCAAAAATTATAGAAACACCCTCAAAAGTTTAAATTATAGATAAGCATATTAAAATTTTAAAATTTTAAAACTTATAAACAACACAGTTGAATTCAAGAGATTACCATGATACACCTAAAATTTTTAACATTTAAATTTAATTTTTTTAATTAACACCCTCAATATCTCAAAAATTATAGAAACACCTTCAAAAGTTTAAATTATAAAAAGCCACCCTAAAATTCTAAAATTTGTAAATAACATAAGATGAATTCAAGATATTACCCTTAGATACCTAAAAAATTAAAATTTGTCGAAACTAACCTCAAAATTTTTTAAAAACTCCTTCAAGATTTAAAAATTGTAAAAAAAAAAACCTCTAAATTTTCAAAATTTTTTAATAGCACACATCAAATTCATCGATTGGTAGACCGCTGAAATTTAATATTTTTTAAAATTAATCTATAGTTTTAATAATTGTAAAAGACACCTTCAAAATTTTAGAGTTACAAGAAATATACTAACATTTAAAAAATTACCACCAACACATGAAACATAGAATTTACAACTACCAAACTTAAAAGTACTTTTTTTAAAAAACTCTTTCAAAATTTTAAAAATTACAAATCACACCCTCAAAGTTCAAAACCACAAAAATGGGCTAAAATTTTAAAACTTGGCAAAGAAAAGTGTAATTGTTTGGTATATATATATACCAAAATTTCTAATTTAGGGATTTACTATCCATTTTCAGCATCTAAGAATAGTCTAAGTTGATACTGGTAAACAAAAATAATAAGAATTGATTAAAAACATCTGGTTAATGGATAAAATTTTTAAAAATATTATAGATTAAAAATTATCGGCACTATATAAATTAAAGTAATTTCATATAATTTTAGTAATAAGTTGGGGTAGCCAAAATACATTCGTAATATTAATTGATAGATATTTAAATTCATAGAAATGATAAAACACTATAATATTATACCTTAGCATTACTTGATTTTAATTTAGAACTTTAATCTTTGACGTTAATAATATTTATAGGGTAAAAGAATACAAGGAATTACATATGGAGAAACTATTAGAATATTTAGAGATAACTTTAAAAGAATTGAGTTATTTCCATTGCAAATGAGAAAGTGATGGAAATAAATCTAAAATTCAGAAAACGTCAATGAATTACTTGAATTTGCATTAACATAAGACATATCTATTAATAAAGCACTGAATGAGTTACATTAAAAAATAATTTAATAATTTTATCCTAATCAAAGAAAAAAATCTCCATGGAAGACATAAGAAAAATTAGTAAGTATTCATAAATTCCATACTGTGTTCTTCAAATTAAATATTAATATTATAATCTAAAAGAAATTGGTAATGAATAATGCAGGTATTTAGTTTAGATCTTTATGGAAAATGACAGGGATAGAGCAAATGTAATATTATTAAAATAACAGAAATTCTTATTGGGTGCACATCAGAAGAATTCATTTTAGAGGAAAATAAAGAGATAGCTTCTAATTTATTTAAGTAATAAATTAGGAACACAAAGAATTTTATATATATGAAATTAATATTTATTCTCATTGAAATAGAAAAAAAAATCAAAGTCTATATTTTGAGCCGTTTGTGTTGAACATCATAAGTACATTTGACTTCTTTGTAAAGTTAAATGAGATGATAAAAATTTAACGAGCCCATGAAAGATAATAGAATACAAAATTAGCATGATGTCACAATTGATGTAGATGATGAAGACAATACTCTAGATTTGCCCGAGAAATGATAAATGATAAACCTGAAGAAGGATTGATCTTAACTCAATAAAAAATAAAATAGAAGAAAAAAAACAATATTTTATGAATATTTTATAGAATAGTTTAATTATTTTGAATGAAATTAGGAATCTTTAGAAGGGAGTTTCATGATTTTTTTTCAGTACTTTTATATTCTTATGTGGATGTTTTTATCATATAAAAGTATACTAGAGTTAGCATTAATATTTAATTTATATTTTTTATGAAGTCTATCAATGATTAAGAATAAACTTCATATTCTCTTTTGCATCGTTTTAACATACTTTAAATCAATCATTTTACCATATTGGTTTTAAATATTCACCTTCCTTGTATAACACTATTTTAATATTTTTCACTTTGCAATGCTATACTTTCTCAAATAAAGCTTAGTTTCATATCGGTCAAAAATAATATAAAAATTCAAATTATTTTTAATTTATATTTGTTTTTTGTCAATTCAAATATCAACATAAAAATTTAAATTGGATGTATCCCATTTAAACAAACATAAAAAAATAATCGGGATGTAAGAGTTTAAAGAAAAAATGAGCATAAACTATCAAAAAAATTTAACCATGGTATTAAATCACGTGCATTACACGTGTGTAAAAACTAGTTTATGCAAAAAGTGATTTATCAGGATACTTATTTTTCTTGATCTTCAAAGTAATTTGTAAATTAAAAAAAAGCGGAAGCTTCAAAGGATACATTTATAGGATTATGTTTTCAAGTAATTGTTTGAAACATATAAACTTATGATCATACAACATGTGAACACAAATTTTGTTATCCCATGAATGTTTTTTTCCCTCTTAGGGGCTGTTTGGTTCGTTTTTTAACTCGATGAAAAAGTTTTACACCGCCTTCACATCAGATTTTTCGTGGCCACGTAAAATATAAACTTTCCGTCGGTTTTTTCCCCATCTTTGGTTCGCTAGGGTTGAAGAAGGAAAACTCGGTGAAAATCGCCGCCCCATCAGATTTTTTCTCTCCCCCAAATCCTTCACCAACCTCGTGAAATCGACGAAAACTGCAGCCACGTCACCTTTTTGCCATATAAACAAAAGTTTCCCCTTTTTTTCTATGCGAACCAAACATAAGAAAAATAAATACATTAATTTACCATCATTTTTTTTGTGCGAACCAAAGCGAAACAATCTATTTCTTAGAAAAGTTTGGAAAACTCAAAACTTATGTTTTTGTACATGGATGGAAATGCATTTCCCTATATCTAGGAAACGAACCAAACAGCCCCAAAAAGAAAATGGAATATTGTTTTTGTCGTCCATCATCTTATTTGTGGTATTAAAAAAAAGTTATTTAAAAAGAAAAAGAAAAGAAAAGAAAACAGAAAAGAAAAACAAATTATAAGTCAAAAGAAAAAGGGGAAAAAAGCAAAGAAATCTCTCTCTCTTTCTCTCTCTCTCTCTCTAATAAAAACACCGAACACGCGTTTCTCCAATCTCTCTCCCCCCAAAACAGAAACCCTAACCCTAGCGATCATGGCTGCACAAGCGGCCAACCTCTTTGAGACCGCATCCCAACCGGACACCACGGCGCCGACGCCTAGCACCCCCCATTCTCGAATTCAGCACCCAAGGGCGACGAACGCCGGGACGATTCGCCCGGCGGCGTCGACGGTTGCCGTCATCCAGTCCCCTACCGCCGCCCGTCAACGACTCTATCAATTCCTCCGCCTCGGCCTCCGCCTCCTCGTCTCCCGCCAACAAGACCAGGGCCCTCGATGCCCTAACCTCTGGAATCGGAGGGTTGAACTTCGAGGAGACGGGAGACGACGAGGGGTTCGAATTCAATAAAGGCGATGCCTTTTTGGAGCATGCATGTAGATACTGTGGGGTGTCGAATCCGGCGTGCGTTGTTAGATGCAATATACCTTCGTGCCGAAAGTGGTTCTGTAATTCGAGGGGTAATACTTCGGGTTCGCACATCGTCAACCATTTGGTGAGGGTTTAATATTTAAATATTGTTTCTTTTATTGTTTTTGGTGGTATAATGTGAACAAAATCCTACAAAATGAGAAGAATTTTCACAAAGACTATATACACTTAAAAGACAATGACGTACACACATCAGAATTAAACAAAATGGTTAATATACTTTTTAAGTAATACAGTAATTAGGAAAATTGGACTTATTTGGAGATATATAATGAAGGAAATTTAATAAAGGATAAAAAAAAGTATTATGGATAGGATAATGCTGGATAAGGAAACACAAATACTTGTGCCATTTCAATAGCGTAAGTGGAAGCAGAAGGATATGAGATTATCAAAAGGCACTGGAAAACCTGATTACCTAAGAGCAGAAGGCAAGTTCCCTTGAGTTTCTTGTCCAATTTATCTATAACAAGCAGGAAATGTTAATAAAGTAGAATAATGAGTTCGGTCTAGTTCACAGTTGATTACCTCTTAGCCACCTGTAGAGTAACTATTTTACTAGCCCAGGAATTAACAAGCAAGCTAGTAAGCTCGAAGGGAGTAAGTGGCCATTCTTTTTTTTTTTTTTTTGGGGGGGGGGGGGACTGCCATATCATTGCTTCCTGAAGACTCTAGCCTAGTCTGGAAGGTCTATCTTGGTTGCATTGGATGAAAAGTGCATGACAATCATAAGTATGGCAATCATAAGTGCAAGTATTTTACCAAAACTGTCTATGAATGACAAATCATTATATTGATCATCATATTTATAAGGTTTTGGTCATCAGTTATTGTGGTCAGTTCGGACAAAAAGTCATTGGTCATCTATAAGTAGTTCTTAGTCTAGAGATTTAGATGAATCTAGTAGTTCTAGCAATATGATCTTTAATTTGATCTAGTCACAGATAAATGTCTAATTACTAGATTATTTGAATCATCTTGAGAACTGACGAGTGACGAGTTAAACTAGAGTAGTATTCTAGCATTATGATACTTGATTTGGTTTGTTTGTCATGAATGTAACCTTCAGGAGTAGCCTTTATTATTCCACTCTGTCAATTCAAGGGGTTGTTGGACTTTCTGTCAAAACAGTGTTACCTTTAACCACACATTCAGAGGGAGGGAAGAGAGTAAGGGATGGATGGAGGGAATTGAGCCTCATCCATTTTTTTTACCAGTAGCTTTCTTTCTTTGAGAGTGTAAAGATTATTTAAATTATAGCAACTTGAAGTTATAGAATACTAAACTTTATCTGTATACCAAATACTAGTAAGTTTTTTTTTAAAGTTTTCTATCACTAACTGTTCCTCCATTGTATTGTAATTTTCAAGTAAAGATAGTTTACTAATGGAGTCTCCTAGTTTGGTCCCTGTCTATCATAGACACTTCAACTTGTTCCTTATCTATCTTGTCTTGACTTCCCATTTATTTTCTGTCTTCCCAACTTTTTACAATACATTTTTATCTACTTAGCTTCTATTAATTTCATTGATTACTACTCGTTTGTCTAGTGACATTTTCAGTATATTTTCCTCAGGTTCGAGCAAAACATAAGGAAGTTTGTCTCCACAAAGACAGCCCTCTAGGGGAAACAATCCTGGAGTGCTACAACTGTGGCTGTCGGAACGTATTCCTTCTTGGATTTATATCTGCAAAGACAGAAAGTGTTGTTGTTCTCTTGTGCAGAGAGCCTTGTTTGAATGTCAATGCACTGAAAGACATGAACTGGGATCTGAGCCAGTGGTGTCCCCTTATCGATGATAGATGTTTTCTCCAGTGGCTTGTTAAGGTCTGCCTTTTCTCTTAGTTTCTTTCTTATTTTTATGTAAATGTGTAGATTAATTAGTTTCTTGCTTTTCAGATACCTTCTGAGCAGGAACAGCTAAGGGCACGGCAAATTAGTGCTCAGCAAATAAACAAGGTGGAAGAACTTTGGAAGACGAACCCTGATGCTTCTTTCGAGGATCTTGAGAAACCTGGTGTAGATGATGAACCTCAACCTGTCGCCCTGAAGTATGAAGATGCTTACCAGGTATTGGTGTCAAGTATTAAGTCATAATGTGGAAACTAATTTTATTCTTGTGTTTATGGATGCCATAATCTAATGGGAGCATTTGTTTTTATCTTGTTTATCTTTCTTTTCTTCTTCTCATTGATTATGTTGTTGTTGGTGTTTTCCTTTCATTTTTCTTGCAGTATCAAAATGTATTTGCTCCATTGATTAAACTTGAAGCTGATTATGACAAGGTACTTGCCTGTTCTTTATTGTTGTTTATTTCTACTGTAGTGGATTAGTGGAAAATCTCTGTAATTTGTTTGCTATTGTGAATTGTCAGTGTTTATTTTTAAATATTATTCTACTTGATATATGTATTATTCTTGATACTATTTTGATTGATTATATATGGTTGATTCATAAATTTCTTGTAGATGATGAAAGAGTCACAAAGTAAAGATAGTGTAACAATTCGTTGGGATATTGGTCTTAACAAGAAGCGAGTTGCTTATTTTGTTTTTCCCAAGGTATTGTCATAGTATGTTAATTCTAATTATTCATCAATATTTTTCGAATACGTAGACTTCGCCATTGTTATGGGAATAGGCTACCCAGCAACGTGTATTAGACGCTGACTTATCCCTATTTAGGCTTCGGGATAAAAAACCCCAGAATTAAACTCTGGTGTCTTTTTCCACGGAAAAAGACTAAACCGGCGACGCGTGTTAGGCATCGGCATATCCTTTCTTAAGTACTCGAGTATTCTATAGATATAGTTTTTGGGAAATGAATTTGGCTTTAGATGAGCTAAGTACATGCATGTACTATGCACTCTCAATGTTATTCGGAGCGACTGAGAGTGAAATAGGACCTCATAGTGGCCTTTTATAGTTCAACTACCTAACTGAAATATTTGTAAACAGCATGTGTCGGTCAACTGCCATATCATTGCTTCCTGAAGACTCTAGCCTAGTCTGGAAGGTCTATCTTGGTTGCATTGGATGAAAAGTGCATGACAATCATAAGTATGGCAATCATAAGTGCAAGTATTTTACCAAAACTGTCTATGAATGACAAATCATTATATTGATCATCATATTTATAAGGTTTTGGTCATCAGTTATTGTGGTCAGTTCGGACAAAAAGTCATTGGTCATCTATAAGTAGTTCTTAGTCTAGAGATTTAGATGAATCTAGTAGTTCTAGCAATATGATCTTTAATTTGATCTAGTCACAGATAAATGTCTAATTACTAGATTATTTGAATCATCTTGAGAACTGACGAGTGACGAGTTAAACTAGAGTAGTATTCTAGCATTATGATACTTGATTTGGTTTGTTTGTCATGAATGTAACCTTCAGGAGTAGCCTTTATTATTCCACTCTGTCAATTCAAGGGGTTGTTGGACTTTCTGTCAAAACAGTGTTACCTTTAACCACACATTCAGAGGGAGGGAAGAGAGTAAGGGATGGATGGAGGGAATTGAGCCTCATCCATTTTTTTTACCAGTAGCTTTCTTTCTTTGAGAGTGTAAAGATTATTTAAATTATAGCAACTTGAAGTTATAGAATACTAAACTTTATCTGTATACCAAATACTAGTAAGTTTTTTTTTAAAGTTTTCTATCACTAACTGTTCCTCCATTGTATTGTAATTTTCAAGTAAAGATAGTTTACTAATGGAGTCTCCTAGTTTGGTCCCTGTCTATCATAGACACTTCAACTTGTTCCTTATCTATCTTGTCTTGACTTCCCATTTATTTTCTGTCTTCCCAACTTTTTACAATACATTTTTATCTACTTAGCTTCTATTAATTTCATTGATTACTACTCGTTTGTCTAGTGACATTTTCAGTATATTTTCCTCAGGTTCGAGCAAAACATAAGGAAGTTTGTCTCCACAAAGACAGCCCTCTAGGGGAAACAATCCTGGAGTGCTACAACTGTGGCTGTCGGAACGTATTCCTTCTTGGATTTATATCTGCAAAGACAGAAAGTGTTGTTGTTCTCTTGTGCAGAGAGCCTTGTTTGAATGTCAATGCACTGAAAGACATGAACTGGGATCTGAGCCAGTGGTGTCCCCTTATCGATGATAGATGTTTTCTCCAGTGGCTTGTTAAGGTCTGCCTTTTCTCTTAGTTTCTTTCTTATTTTTATGTAAATGTGTAGATTAATTAGTTTCTTGCTTTTCAGATACCTTCTGAGCAGGAACAGCTAAGGGCACGGCAAATTAGTGCTCAGCAAATAAACAAGGTGGAAGAACTTTGGAAGACGAACCCTGATGCTTCTTTCGAGGATCTTGAGAAACCTGGTGTAGATGATGAACCTCAACCTGTCGCCCTGAAGTATGAAGATGCTTACCAGGTATTGGTGTCAAGTATTAAGTCATAATGTGGAAACTAATTTTATTCTTGTGTTTATGGATGCCATAATCTAATGGGAGCATTTGTTTTTATCTTGTTTATCTTTCTTTTCTTCTTCTCATTGATTATGTTGTTGTTGGTGTTTTCCTTTCATTTTTCTTGCAGTATCAAAATGTATTTGCTCCATTGATTAAACTTGAAGCTGATTATGACAAGGTACTTGCCTGTTCTTTATTGTTGTTTATTTCTACTGTAGTGGATTAGTGGAAAATCTCTGTAATTTGTTTGCTATTGTGAATTGTCAGTGTTTATTTTTAAATATTATTCTACTTGATATATGTATTATTCTTGATACTATTTTGATTGATTATATATGGTTGATTCATAAATTTCTTGTAGATGATGAAAGAGTCACAAAGTAAAGATAGTGTAACAATTCGTTGGGATATTGGTCTTAACAAGAAGCGAGTTGCTTATTTTGTTTTTCCCAAGGTATTGTCATAGTATGTTAATTCTAATTATTCATCAATATTTTATTAGATATCAGGAAGGTGTTGTTATTATTATTATATTCTTTATGCTTATTCAAAATTTATGTTTGAGCTAACAGGAAGATAATGAATTACGTTTGGTTCCTGGAGATGAGTTGCGGCTACGATATTCAGGAGATACAGCACACCCTGCATGGCAATCTGTGGGACATGTGGTATGGATTGTTCTTATTTTGGACTAACAAAATTGGTTGGAAATTTATTAATTGATGAAGTCCCATATGGACTGGAACTTTGACTGAATGCATACAAGCAGGGGCCAGAATATGTGGATTTTATCTTGCGTATTCTGCACCCTTTTAAATAGAGCTCCTGGCTCTTTTAGTCGTCCTATAGACCAATCCAATGCCAGTTAACCAAACTTAACATGGCTTGAGTCAATTTATACTTGGATGATTCTGGCCATTATCCACTAATTATACTTGATGATTTAATCATAATCATATTGGATTGATCTCTTAAGCCAGAAATTCAGAATAGCCCTTTAGCTGATAACCATTTTATGCATGCTGCTTTTCCCATTGGTGACTGTTGGATACTAATTTCTGTTTCCAGATCAAGTTGACTGCCCAAGAAGAAGTTGCCCTTGAACTCCGTGCCAACCAGGTATTGACAATTTTCATTGCTTGGTTATAAACATGTAACTAATAGCTTGCTGTTAGGTTTAGTTAACATGTTAATCTTTTTTACCTCCTTATCCAGGGTGTTCCTGTTGATGTGAACCATGGGTTCAGTGTTGATTTTGTTTGGAAGAGTACCAGCTTTGATCGGATGCAAGGAGCAATGAAAACTTTTGCTGTAGATGAAACCAGTGTTAGTGGGTGAGCTTCATTCTATCCTCATGAGTGAGATTCAGATAATGTTTTAGTGTGTTGTGGATTCGAATGTTGTTATATGATTCTCATTTGCAGTTCAGGGCACCAATTCATGTCCTGATAGCCACTGCAATACTGGATTGTTAAAATGTTCAGTTGTTTTCGTGCATGCATGTCAGGATTCACATAACTAGCTAATGGTAGGCGACCCCATAAACTGAGTAACAGGTTCCAGATTATTTTAATACTAGAATACTTAAGATCCATCTGTTTCGGCCTTATAAATGAGTGTTAGTTACATATGGAAAATTCTCTTTTTTTTTTCCTTGTGCACTTTCTTGAGTCTAGTCAAATTTGGAAGTGTGCTGACTGAATTCGCGAGCTCAAGCAGAGTGACAAGGATGCCTTCTTGTGCATGAGCTGGCCTCCTAATGACCCTTCAGTTAGAAAGTGTTTCTTGTTATAATGACCTTAGCGAAGAATTTAGCGCTGCCTCATGCAAGCTTTAAACCGGCAGAACTGCTAGGAAAAATATAGTGAATTCAGTTGTAGAATTTACACTTCCGTTCATGCTCTATAGCCTCCATTATATGTGAAGTTGTTGCTGTGGATGTCGATGGAAACTTCTTGTCGGAGCATTATCTGATGATAGATATGGAACATTATCAATCAGATAGTTCAACCATTTTTTTATTCTTTCTTTTCAGGTACATATACCATCACTTATTAGGTCATGAAGTTGAACTTCAAGTCGTCCGCAACACTTTACCTCGACGCTTTGGTGCTCCAGGCCTACCAGAATTAAATGCATCTCAGGTATATAATTTAGCCACTGACTTTGAACAAAGCCATGACAAAGAAACTCACAGTTTGATTCATATTCCTCTTATTTTGGCGAAATTTGTAACTTATTTATGGATAAACTAATGGGTGTAGAAGGAAGAGATTGGTAAAGATAGATTTATCTGATGATACAGCCTTACCTTCCTACCTGAAATGAAACCCTTATTCTGATCCTAAGGTTGCCTGCATGCTGAAAGTCTTTGGATGATAACTATTAGGTGCTGGAACTGTCAGCTATGGGCTTTAGAATTAAGTTACCTACAGAGATGGGTTTTGTGGATGTATGTTGGCTTGAACAAGTGACAAAGGTATTTAGACATGTGCTAGCAGCGTATGCTTATTGGTACAAAGGATCGAGGAATGTACTAAATTAAAGGTTCTCATTTTAATGAATTTATTAAATAAACTATGAACTAGATTCATTGCAGATTTTTTTTTTGTAATGTCATGTTTTTTGGAGGAGAAACCAACTGCGCTTGTAGGAACTCAAATTTTTGATAGATTGTGCTTTAGAACTAGCTATTGGAACTGGCAGAAGCCATGAACATATAATTATAAGTGATAATCACCACATTTGAAGGGTTCTGGTCTGCTTGACATTGGAAAGGGAAACTTCTAAGGTGTCAAATTCCTCTTGAAGCTTATTCTGTTCAGTTGGACATCCTTCTTGCAACAGTATACTGACATGTGGCAATGTCCTATATGACTTCCTATTCTTCATATAGTACACTCGTTGTGCAAGTTATTTGTTTATTAATAATTAAGTCCTTATACGGCCATGGTTCTGTTACTTAGGATCATTCATGTTGAATCCATGATGGTGACTTATGAGATTGACGTTGGCATTATTCACAGAAGGATGGTTAAAGTGGAGAGTTGCTTCTGGAATAGTGTACGATCATATAATACCCATGAAACCGAAAGTTTATGGCATGTATACCTGTCCAACCATGCGTTGTGGGAAGAATATCAGGGTAAGAAGCAAACCATCCAGAAATGAGTATATATATAGTGAGAATGTTTTGATCTTGGACCGCAATTCACTGAAATGTACAGCTGATGCAGTTGTCATCTATTATGTAGGGATTGTCCTTCAGTGCATAATCATCAGCGATTTCCCTTCTGTGATTGTACTTTTGTTACATTTTGATCATGCTGTTTTTGATATGGTTAATGAAATGTCGAATGTACTTTTGCCATTATATCTTTTGGGTCTATTTCCTGCATGGTCTATTATGGAAAATTTCTGAAAAAAACTGCAGAGAGATTTTCTTATCTGTGCGTTCCCTCTTTGTGATACATGAATATTTTTGGCTATAACCATTCATACACCTCTTTTCTTTGTGTATATCACATCTATGGGTATTGCATAATGCATATACTCTTTTAGTCTCAAATCCCTTACCATGGTAAAGGCCGTTTTACCTGTTTTTAATGGAATTCTATTATATGATTTTAGGTTTTCGCTGTCAAGAGTGTCCTTCAGAAGCCAATTAGTTTAATTCAGGGTCCTCCCGGTACAGGGAAAACCGTCACATCTGCATCTATCGTGTATCACATGGCTAAACAAGGCCAAGGCCAAGTAACTAAGTTCTTTTGGCTCTTAATGCTAATTTAATATAGTGACAAAAGGATATAAATTTGACATTTCGTGCACTCTCAGGTTTTGGTTTGTGCTCCAAGCAATGTTGCCGTTGACCAATTGGCAGAGAAGATCAGCTCCACTGGGTTGAAGGTAACTCTACACATGCTTATTATCCTTTCACCTCCATCTGGCTGGGCTAAATATTTAGACTTTCTTCTTTTGTATTTTGTTAATTTTTATCTCCGATATGGTTATTTTCTTGTTCTTGATTAGACATTTTTTTATAAACCTGTGTATTTATGTTTTTATTCCATTTATGTTTGGGTTTTAACATAGCATATCAAGCTTATGCCAGAATTGTGTTGTAGGTACACAGTAACGATAAGGTGAAAGTGTTTACGATTTTCTTTCAATTTATTATTATTTTTTGGTGGTTAATTGCACAAAAGGACACCCTCCATTTATAACCTATCAACATCTGATACTCCTCCGGTCTTTAGTAACATCCGACACCCCCTGATTAGAGCCTTGAAGGTTAATTTATAATTTCCTCTCAAGGGTGTCTAGCCTTCAAGGAGCCAGTCGGTTGGAACTGTTCGCTTCATCCTGATATTTTACCTGTAAGACCATTAGTTGTTATATGGAGGAGTATTAATGATGTGTATGTTCTTTTGTTGTGTTCTAGTGCTGCAATCTAATATTTCATTGAACAATATATGTCCGTTTATCACATCTTTCCGTCTTTGATCGTTCCATGCTTATTCTGCACTCATGTGAAATCCAGGTCGTTAGGCTTTGTGCCAAATCAAGAGAGGCCGTTAGCTCACCCGTGGAACACTTGACACTTCACTATCAGGTTTGTCAGTTTCTATGTTTGGTTAGAGGGTGTTGGAACTACAAATGTTGTTGCAACATCACGAGTGTGTTTGGATTGATGTAGTTGGAGCACTATGTTGTCCAACTACATCTATAAGTGTTTGGTTTGGTGTAGTTGCAACACCAAAATGTTATTGCAACACTAAAAATATGCCAAAAATGGAAGTGTTGCATCCCTACTCAAATTTTAGAGTGTTGCGACAACATGAAGTTACAATTACATGTGTATGCAAGAACTTGAGTTCCAACTACATGTGGATAAAACTACATTTTTTTAACAACACCTAACCAAACACATGTAGATTGTTTTACCAAGTGTAAGATATATTAATGGTGTTACTAATGTGGTTTTTACTTACTGATAATTGCAGGTTCGACATCTTGATACATCTGAGAAGAGTGAACTTCATAAGCTGCAACTATTGAAAGATGAACAAGGTAGGTCTTTAACTCTTTTTATCCAGGTTTCTGGAAAATGCAAACCCTCAAAATGGTAATGACACCCTGCCCTTCTTTTTTTTCCCTCCCCACTGAAAAATGGAAGAGAAGAAACAAAGGAAAACCACCCAGAAAGAGCAACAATAACAATGAAGAAAGTAACGGACAATGTAGTTACTGGCCTGTCCTTCCACAAAAAACTTCCACACCAACCCTCCCCACACTCATGAGAGGACGAGAGGAGCACCGTGGTTCTGCCTAAATATTTTGCTAACCATTCTTAGTTAAAGAGCATGCAAAAAGAATCATTTCATTCCATCATCAGCCTCCAACGTTTACCTGTAATTAACTGCAAAATGATGTTAGCTGGAGAGATGTCATGCTCTGTTCTTGCCTATCTTTGTACTCATTGAAGAGGACCAAGGGATCACATTTGCCTATGGTATGAAGACATAGGAAATTCGTGACGTAGTTCTAAATGTTAATGTCTCAGACTCAAAGATGAAGCACTTAATCCATAAAAAAAGAATGGCGACAACTGGTTAATATATTTACTTTACATGGTATCTTACATGTACTGAATTTCCTCATGGAGTAATGTACGAATTGGTTTAGTGTTCTCTTTCTGAATCATTCAACATTCTATATCAGATCCTCCCCTAAGATAAATCTTCTCGTTTGATCGCTCCCTATTACGTTTTCTAAAGACCCTGGAGTGGCGTGTGAGTTTAGAGCATGGAAAATACTAGTGTAGTTATGATAGTTTCCATATGTCATTGGCAGATTCCAGAACAATTATGATGATGCTATTGATATTATTTTCGAGTGGGTCTTTAGGGATATAAAAATCATTGACAGGAAGATCTCCTTTTTCTCCAAATTTTGTAGTGGGGTTAAGAAAGTTGAGTACAGAAAAATGTTTTTATTTGCACAATAATACTAACCCTGGCATATTGCTGATGCCTATTAAGGATTAAAAATTGGTTTAATTCATCGTTAAATCTACAAGTTGTTAATAAGTGGTACCAGAGATAAAACTGTCTACGGGTGTAGGCAGATTTGTACATTGCTAATACTGCGTAGGCAGATTTGTACATTGCTAATACTGGTCTTAGTTATATGGCATCAGGGGTCAGTGGAAAATGAAAGTTAATTTTTTGCAGGAGAGCTCTCAAGTAGCGATGAAAAAAAGTTCAAGGCATTAAAACGGGCTACTGAAAGAGAGATTCTACAAAGTGCTGATGTAATTTGTTGCACTTGTGTTGGTGCTGGAGATCCTCGACTTTCCAATTTCCGGTTCCGCCAGGTTTAAAGCCATAAAATTCACATGTTTTATACTACATTTGTTAGTTACCGAGCTCTTTTCTTCTAATTTTTAATTTTGGTTGTTTCGTATAGGTTCTAATTGATGAATCTACTCAGGCAACAGAACCAGAGTGTCTTATTCCCCTTGTCCTTGGAGTCAAACAGGTTAACTGATCATAAAAAACGCCATGTAGATGTCCCTTTACCTTCAGTTATGTTTTTCTGATCAGACAGATCTATGAATCAGGTGGTACTTGTTGGTGATCACTGCCAGCTTGGTCCAGTTATTATGTGTAAAAAGGCAGCTCGTGCTGGCTTAGCACAATCTCTATTTGAGCGCCTTGTGCTTCTTGGATTGAAACCAATCAGATTGCAGGTTATTATTATTTTATTAGTGAACAACTTTTCTCATGGTGTTTTTTTTGTCATTTTTGTCAAGTTATGTTCATATAGGCTATAGACCTGTTGTGATAAAAGCTGCCTACAAGAGGGAAGCAGATTATCTGCGACAGGACATCTTTTCTCCTTGTTTAGACTATAGTTTCCTTCTCTAAGTACAAGGGCATCTATAAGGTAAAACATAGTTGCTGATTGGAAGGTCTTCAGAATTATTGAGTAAAATTGGACGAAAAGGTCTAAGAAGTGCAGATAGGAACAGGAGGATATGAAATGAAATTATACTTTGACATGCAGAAATTTCAGACGTAACAAGTACGTGTTGGGTCCATATAGAAGCATCCATGCTACAAAACACTTTTTGGGACATGACAGTTTTCCACCGTGCTTTAGACCATATTTCCTTCTCTAGATGCAAGACAAAGTAAAACATAGTTATAAATTGACTACTCTTCAGGAACATATTGAGGAAAGGTGGGAGAAAAATGTCTAAGAAGCGTGGATGTGAACAGGACATGAGATATAGTTAGACTTTGATGTGCAGAAAATTTTATAATAATATGTATGGGGAAAAAACACATCAAGTGTCAGGAACCTGTCCAACTCAACATGGTTCATAATAGAAGTATCCATGATATAGAACAATATAAAGAGACATCTAAATTAGTAGGTGAAAGTACCCTAAAGGGGGGTGAATAGGGTTCTTGCTAATCTTATTAGATATTAATGCTGATTAAAATTAATTAACAAATATATCCTAACAATATTGATATTCAATTTGATATATGCAAGGATATATGAACAAGATTAAATAAACAAGTGATAGTGCGCAAATGACAAACACAAACACAAGATATGATCACGGAGTTCGGTCCCCACGACCTACGTCTCCGCTTCTCACCTCGAGGAGATGTCCACTATCACAACCGGGTTTTCTACGCTCATCCGAATAACGTTTACACCTCACACTACGGTTTTCTAGTTCACTGAAAACTTTACAATTCACACTTACAATCACACTTTACACCCGCTAAGTGTTGGTCTCCATCCCATGTCTCCCTCAAGTGTTAGGAATTATAACATATCTCTAGGCATTACCACCTACCGCACTCATCTTGGGACGATCCCGTCTCTCACCACTCACTTCTCTCGATGTACAAGTGCATTACAAAGTGTATCTCACAATTAGGCTCAACAACAATAAAATGATCTCTACAATAGGTAAGAACTCAATGTAAGCTCAATCTCACAAATCACAATCTCACAACCCAATATATGATGTATGAAATCCTACAAGCTCAAATAGGGTGTGTGTGATAAAATGAGTATAAATAAAATCTAACTCAATTAGCAAACTAGTAATAATAAGAATATGAAAATCAATAATAAAATTGTTAGAGAAAAGAGTTAGAAAAACTTCTCTATAAACACAATAGAGGATGAAGAAGATTGAGGATGAATTCCTCAATTGAAAATGCAAGCCTCCTCTTTGTAAACTCAAACACCAAACTTAAACTTGAGAAACAAACTTTTAAACACTTAAAACTCTTGTTAAAAACCCTTTTTTCAAACTTCATTCTGATGAGAACAATAGGGGTTTATATAGGAAGAAAAACCAAGGCACAAAATCCAAACAAATCCAGTAAAAAGACAAAAGAACAGAAGGTTAGAAAAACTAGCCGTTGGGCCGTCAGTTGACTGACGGGTTTCATCAGTCGACTGATGAGCTGACCGTTGTAGGTATTTACCAGCTTATCAGTCGACTGACGTCCTTAGTCGCGACTGATGGATCATCAGTCGACTGGTCAGTCGACCAAAACAAACAGAAACTTTTTGATGATTCTAGACACATTCTTCAGTCGACTGATTAGTCGACTGATGTCATCAGTTGACTGATAACAGGTTATCAGCCTGAAACGATTTTTAAAAACGAATTTTAAAGTCTATTTAAAAATAGCAAATAAATTCTAAAAAATATAAAACTTTAGGAAAAGTTTATAAACATGATTATGAACATGTTGGAAAAGGAAATTTTCAATTTGCTCTTACCATTTGTGAAATCTCGGAAATATTCAAAAGTACTAAAATACATGTTCTTCAAATATGTTGTTTTTTTCCATTTTAGCTCAAATCAAGTTCTGAAAACTTGTGTAATCGTTTTATGGACATAATAAAAGATGTTAACATGGTTTGTATAGTCCAAAATATATTTGAATGTATTTTGCATAAAAACACCTATTTTCATGAAAATTCACAAATGTAATGTGTGTATATTTGAGCTTATAGAATTAACACACATTATATAAAACCTAAACTTAATTTACCCAAGCTTGATAGATCTTCATTGTAGCTTGTCTTGGTAAATATGGAAGAAGCTTGAACTTAGATCTTGACTAGTATGCATAGGCTTCATTCCACTATTCCGCCAACCTCCATTTGATATGATCGTGAATGCTCGATTCCATCCATCCTCCAACATATTGTTTGTCTAGAATACCTAATAAGAAAACATAAACACTAGGAAAACAATATTAGGAATTGTTTGTAATTATCAAAACAAGATTAGAAGATGTAGGCTCATGACATGAGACCTAACAGTAGGCACCAAGTAGGATCATTAGTGGTGTCGTGATCATAACAAAGAGCTTCGTATGACATTGAGGACAGGTGGCATTCTTCTTCATTCACATGTATGAGGATAGATTCTCTACAAGTTTCTTTGGCATGTTTCCTTTTTTGTGAGGATAGATTCTTTACTAGTTTCTTTGGCATGTTTCATTTTTGTCCCAACTTAAGTATTGGATTGTTGTTGGCTTGTTGCATAGTATACTCTTAAAGTTCTTATGATACTCAAACAAGATCATAGTTACTCAATATTAGACTCAAGGAAGATGCACAGTTTTTAATGAAGTAAAAGTTGAATGATGCATGTTGAGGATGATTTCGATGCCCAACTGATCTTTGATTTAGTAGCATTGGTATTTTCTTCCCTTCTTTGTTGATATGTTCTATTGTATATGCATGTCTATTTTCTAATTAGCATTTGGTGATCCCTCCCCTCACCTTCCCTTATAGTGAATGCTTATCTTACGTTGATTTCATGTTCATCCTAAGCTGTACCTTGTGTTTACTTCTATCTCTTACCAATGATTGTGTCTGGACTAAGCTTCTAAATATGTTTGAAATTGCAGGTTCAATATCGAATGCATCCTTGCCTGTCTGAATTTCCTTCTAACAGCTTTTATGAAGGTACACTTCAGAATGGAGTAACCGTAAATGAAAGGCAGACAACTGGTATTGATTTTCCTTGGCCAGTTCCTACTCGTCCTATGTTTTTCTATGTTCAGGTGATTAACACTTCCTTCCTTTCGTGCTTTATAGTTTTGCTGCATGTTTTTATGTTATAAAGTCACTTGGTTACCTTCTTCTGTTTGCCTAATGTGATCCTTGGAAATTGTTTTGTAGATGGGACAAGAGGAGATAAGTGCGAGTGGGACATCCTATTTGAACAGAACTGAGGCTGCAAATGTTGAAAAAATAGTAACAACCTTTTTGAGGAGCGGCGTAATTCCTAATCAGGTGCATTTGTAATTTAATTGAGATATTAATCTTTTTTGATGTAATTGATGTGCTTATACATTACTGCCCTTTTATCTTTATGTAGATTGGCGTCATTACACCTTATGAAGGACAACGGGCATACATTGTAAACTATATGGCAAGGAATGGATCTCTTAGACAGCAACTTTACAAAGAAATAGAGGTTGCTTTTTCTCCTGGAAGAACCACTAGTTTCAATTAGTTGCTGGTTCTAAATCTTTATTTTATTTTCCCTAGGTTGCAAGTGTTGATTCCTTTCAAGGAAGGGAGAAGGATTACATAATTTTATCGTGTGTAAGAAGCAATGAGCATCAGGTGGGTTTTCATGTCATTCCTACGCTGGATTCTCTTTAGTATCCTCACTCTTAAGATTTCTCAATATTTTGTAGCTTAGGAAATTTGTGTTTGTCTGGATTTATGTGCAATAGGGTACTTTTACTACCCATATCCATTGACATCATTAATAGGTAGAAACATAAGCAAGCATGCCATGTATTAAGCTTCTATGGAACTGTTACTCATTTCTATGTGCATAAGCAGTGATTTAGGATTGTACAATCTGCTTGGAAATTAGTGTTAACTATTTGAATCTTTTGCAGACAGATGCTCCATTCATCTCATGTGGTGAATATTGCTTTACTGGGGGAATTATGAGTCTTTTAGATACATTAGGGTTTGATAAACTTCATTCATTGCCACTTGGAAAATGCAAATATGCAAGACTTAACAGTGTTGGAGATTATACTATATGTTCGGCGTTAGTTTTTGTGTTCGAAACTTTTTAATGCAAATTTGTGGTTTATCTTCTTTCATGTGTTATTGATGGCTTCTGTTTGGTATACGAGGCTTGTCATCTCATTGCTGAAACATTTATGCAGAATTTGAATTCTCATGTTGCTTAAGCTTCCAGTTTAGCTTTGGGTTTCAATTTTGGCTTTCTAGTTAATTCATAATTTGCTATACCATGCTTTTCTAATATGTAATATCTTAATAATTTCTGCTGTTGTTTCTTTTCTTAGGGTATTGGGTTCCTTAATGATCCGCGTAGGCTGAACGTTGCACTAACTCGAGCTCGTTTTGGTATTGTCATTCTGGGAAACCCGAAAGTCTTGAGTAAGCAGCCTTTGTGGAATGGATTATTGACACACTATAAGGTATCTAACAGTTGCTGGCCTTGTTTGTCTTTTGGTTTCAGCATTGGAAACATTTTATTAGCTGATAAATTTGTTTTTACCACTAAAAGTTTATTTGGATGTTCATCGTTCAATTTTTTAAAGTGAATTCTCTTTCTACAATTTGCTTGCAGCAACATAACAGTGATCCATATACTATTTTATGAGAATACTTATTGAGTTTTTGCGTAAATTCTCTTGAGTAACGAATTATTTATTATTGCTTCATGTTCTATATCCTAATATCAACAGATGCAACCTGTGGGAAGGACTGTACTGATACTATTTTACATTATTTTTTCGGTATCGAGTATAATCTCCAAGGAAATAATGTTGCTTTGTGGAGGATCATTTCTTTCATTTGACTAGGATTGGCTTTAGAACTATTTAATATTTTAGTTTAGTAGGAATTCAAAATGTGTGCTTTATCTTTAATACAACCAAGTGACTTAAGTACTTAACTGTAATTTACACAATCAACATTAGTCTCAGTCATTGGCCTATAGTAAACATCGTATATTACATTCAATATGCAAGCAAGGAATTTTGACTTTTTAGCATAAGTTCAAGCATTAAAACCACAAGGCTATAAACATCAGGTGTGTAGGTTATATCGTGGACTGTCTCCTCTGGATGCTAGGATGTTCAAGCTTTAACACAGGTTATATCATGCCTCTGATTTACATCGTGTGTTATCTTTCAGGAGCATGAGTGCCTTGTAGAAGGACCTCTGAACAATTTAAAGCAGAGTATGGTTCAGTTTCAAAAGCCAAAGAAGGTACCCAACAAAGTGGAATTCTTCAGTTGCATCCGTCTTCATGTTTCTTTTTTTATTGGTTCCGCTTCCACATATCTTCTTTTGGTGGAACTCTTTTGGTGGCTGTACTTTTTGCAATGGATGGGGATTTGCCTCATGCGAGGTTGTTGTTGTTTTGCAGATCTACAATGATCGCAGGCTTTTCTTTGGAGGTGGTCCTGGGATGGTTTCCAGTGATAGCTTTGGTTCCATCAATTCTTCAAGCCCTAGTGGTGATAAGCGAGGAGGACGCAGTAAAGGTATTTAACTTGCTGATCTTCATTTTTTACCATAGCATGGTTTGAGATTCAACTGCCCTTGTTAAATCCAACTGCAACGACCTCTCTTGTTTTAGAGTTGTTTTGTCTTGAGATCTGCTTTATGATAAAATGGATAACTCCTAACCTTCCCTGAAAAACGAGATATTTCCTCAGGCACTTGCCTTAAACCTGTGATCCCTGTTGCAAGAAAAACCATGACCTGATTGTTCAAGTTCGCGTTAGCTGCAAATTTTACTCCTATGCCATATAGTTCTCTAGTCATGTTTAAATCTTGTAAGATCTGCATTATTTTTTTTCTGAACTTTGATTCAAATTTGTTAGCCAATCTCATTCTGTTGATAAGAGGTTGGGAAGAGGATGGGCAAATGCGGTATAAAGTTCACTGTGAAAATTAGAAATTAATTGTGGTGGCGTCATTGTTCTGAATTCAATTTTCTCATTCATATAGTTGTTTTCTACAAAGGAAAATCATCAGATGGTTAAAATTTTGTAGAATTTCAGTGGTACATTGGTCTAAATTGCTCATTTTGCCCAAACCAGGTCATCTTTACATGCCATTTGGACCAACCAGTGGTCATAAGCCCGGAATGCACTCGGCAGGATCCCTCCCTCGCATACCTCATCCACCATTTCCTGGAGGTCCCCATTCTCAGCCGTATGCAATTCCAACTCGTGGAGCTGTTCATGGACCAATAGGTGCAGTTCCTCAAGTTCCTCAACCGGGGAATAGGGGTTTTGGGGCTGGTCGTGGCAATGCTGGTGGCCCTATTGGTGGTCACCTTGGACATCATCAAAGTGCCCAACAAGCTGTGGGTGGTGTTGGTTCTTTTAATTTCCCTGCTCTGGATAATCCTAATAGCCAACCCTCTGTTGCGGGTCCATTATCCCAGTCTGGACTTATGACTCAGGTTGAAACATCCTTCAAACGTACAGGTTTTCAGACATGTAGATATTCATGTAACATTCATATTCTTTCTAATGTTTTGTAGGCACCAGGTCAAGGACTTAGCCAAACGTTCCGTGATGGATTTTCTATGGGTGGCATGTCTCAGGTATTACAGCTGTATGCTTATGGGTGGTATGTTTATAATATCTGTTTTCTTTTGGTGGTCCTTGTTTTGATTCTTATTACTTCACATGGAACTCTATTTATCAGGAATTTTTGGGTGATGATTTCAAAAGCCAGGGATCACATGTTGCATATAATATTGCAGATTTTTCTACTCAGGTGTGAATATAGTCACTTCTCTTACATATACTACAACTTGTGCAGTGCAATGTAGTGTATATATAACTTTTGAAAGTTCTCGTTAATTTGGCTGGCACTTAATTACTCACTCTTTATGTTGTGATCACAATATTTTTTCGATCTCTGTGTGCGAATTTCCTGCAATATTCCTTGGTAGTTGCGAATTGCTTGGACTGTGAAAGATTGTTTGAGTTAAATCTATGAGCTTTGAGATGCACAATGCAATCTGATGAGGTTTTTAGCAAATTATGCTAACTGTAGGATAAGTGGATTGCTTGGGTTGACTGTCCTGATACTATATTTTAACTATATTTAAAGTTGATAATAGGTTAGTATTAAACGCATAAGTATATATGGTGAAAACAAACACAAAAAAAGATGGAAACATTTAACTATGTTTATATCATTAAATGGAAATGTGGAGGAAATATTTGATGTGAATTTTAATCTTAGCACCTTGTCTTCAGTTGATGTGGTTTATACTTGGCTGCTGTTCTTCCATGCAGCTGTAGGACTATATTTATTTATTGGCTTGCCTGCATTTGCCTTCTTTGAGTGCCTTACCCAGCTAACCCATTGTCGAATAGTCAATTTAAAAGTGATTGTTGATTCCAATATTATGACATGGTTTCCATAAGTGATAATGTTTTAGATGTGCAGTTACTGAAACAATTTAGCACTTAACTACAGGCTTCTCAAGGTGGATATGGTGTTGATTATATGACACAGAGACATACTGGGTATCCTGGTAGTTATCTGAACCAGAATACCCAGCCAGGATATTCCCATTTGGGCACTGCAAATGATTTTGGATCTCAGGTTGGCTTAGTCCGAATTTGTGGCGTTTATTCATATATGTGTCAGCACTTTCCATGAAGCTTATATAAACCTAAAAATGATTCTCGTCCTTCCTCTTCTTTTTTTTGGATTAACACTATTGTCTGCTTTTAACAGGATTACATGGCTCATGGTTCCCAAGGATTATTCACGCAAGCTGGATTCAATGACCCTTTGCAGGATGAGTCTTCTCAGAGCCACTTTGGGATTGCTGGACCCGGCCCTCTTCAGTCTCAGGTTCTGTCAACTCAGCATAAATAGTGAATTGAGTTTGCCTTAAAACAAACCCTAATTTTAACTTGCTGAAAGCATACAGGCTGCGAACCCTCTTTATTCACAACCCTTCAGCCCGTACAACGCCACATCCCTGAATATGCAGCAGCAGCCTCAGCAGCAGAGCCAGAGCTCTCAAAACCAGAAACTTAACTTTAATGGCTGAGAGCTGCGAGAGACGTCAAATCATCATGTGGGTTATATTCTTTTGCATCAAGCACAGTGGTTTATGCTGATGTGTGAAGGATAGCAGGTGAAAGTGTGGTTTGCTTCTTTCGACCCATTCAAGCATATTCAAAAGATTTTTCCCATTGAAAAAGAAAAAGACTTTTTGAACCGATGTGCTCGAGGGTATGATTTGGAGCTTGCAACTATCCATCAGCCTGCTGCACAAAAGGCATAGCCGGTGCTGAGGAAAGGATTGCCCAAAGTTTATGAGATAATGTTTGCAAGGGAGCACCTCATGTTCTTGATCAAAGGGATCGTGCCAGTTCCTTCTACCTATATAAATGGCTGTATTTTTGTGAAGATGTGCATAAAATAGAAGGTGGGTTTAATATGGGGGAGTGGGGTTACGGTTCATTTGGCTGACCCATACTTCTTAGTTTCCAAATTGGGATATAACTTTTTGTACAGCAGCCTTGGATGAAGGTCGGCCATAGTTTCCTTGATCAACTTCATGTATGGGTTAAACTCCTGCAAGAACTTATGTGGATTTGGTTTGTATGGATAAATTATTATATAAAGTCACAGTAGGCTGGGCTGCTGGTAGCCATTCTGATATGGGCTGGACCTGCTGTAAAATGTTTATTGGTGTTTATGTGAGAAATTGAGCTCTTTTGGGGGTTCATTTTAGTCATTCTGAGGTTATGATAGACGCTTCCAGTGTTTGTGTTGATCCTGTGAGCTTCTCATTGGTATCTACCCGTTTGAGAATTTGGTCCGTGATGTTGGCTTCAGATTTTATAGTGGTTTCTGTTCATCCAGGTTTCCTTCATTCCATCACTTGCTTTTGCTTGGTACTCTCTTGTGCTGTCACCCGGTTCTTGCTCTTCTATAAATCCTCCCTCTTAACTATATTTGAGACGGGAATCCAACGTTTACATGTGACGCAAGTACTTTTCTTGCTGTTATCGTGCTTCTGATCAACGAATGCGCTTCTTGCTCTTTTCCAGGGCCTCGCTCTCGTGTGTGCGCACGAAGAGAGAAAGATCGTGCTGTTTTTTTTCCCTATGCACGCGCTCAGTGCAAAGCGAACGCACGAAGAGAAAAAGTTCGTGCTGTTTTTCCTTATGCATGCATTCTGTACAAAGCCAATGGCAACATCACCTGCCAAAGCTTCTATTAGTTTCACACTTGGTGAGCGCTAAATCAATGTTTTATGTATGAGATGTAGATTTTGCAGCTATCGTCTCATCACTTTGGTTATTTCGCTCGAGTTTGTTGAGGAATAAGTTGGTTTAAGTTTTTTGTAGGATGTACGAGTCTAGTAGGTGCATTATGATCGTGCATACATGAGCTAAGCTCGTGCTTTGGTTATGTTCAATTAGTGGTGACATAACATAATTTTAACGGAAGAATAGTATTCACATGGAGAAGTTTTTGAAGTATACTCTTCAAAAAAAAAAAAAGTAAATCACCAAAATTGATCTATTACGTTGGTTGAAACTAGGTCGATTTTGATAAATATTTTGCAAATATGTGAAAATTGATAATATTTTTTGAAAAGGTCTGTTTCAAAATTGTCCTATTCACATAGTCATACCAAAAAAATTGGAACAGAAGTTTTCTTCTTGTTGTTGATATATACGTGACGGATAACGTCTATCACTTTGCTTCAATTTGTAGTTTTATTTATTTTTTGGGAAAATTTACAAAATAGTTCGTTTTTGCTAATTATTTAGCAAAATAGATCGTTTTGCTAAATAATTAGCAAAATAGACCTCTTTTTGGCCATCAGGCCAAAAATAGGTTTATTTTGCAAAACAGCTCAGAAAACATACGGGACTAGTAGTCCCGTATGTTTTAATCACGGATTAGTGAACTCAGAAAATTTCACAAAATATTGAGATGAACTCAGAAAACATACGAGACTACTAGTCCCGTATGTTTTCTGAGTCACTAATCCGTGATTAAGCTGGCTCTAAACATACGGGACTAGTACTGTATGTTTTCTGAGTCATGTTTTTCAAAATCGACCTATTTTTTTTTTAAAAGAGGTCTATTTTGCTAATTATTTAGCAAAACGGTCTATTTTGCTAAATAATTAGTAAAAACGGACTATTTTGTAAATTTTCCCTTATTTTTTTTCTGAAAACTAAGAGGCCGAATAAGCAAGTCTCAAACGAGAAGGGCCAGGTCGATCGGTTCTCAAGAATAATGTAGGAGATATGATTTTTTTGCAACTATTAAGAAATTATTACGTCATATTGGTCGTCATTTTTAAAATTTACCTTTGAAACAGTTGCAACAAATCCGAAGGATCATTGTTCGTAGAAGCTAGAAAGGTGATCGATCACCAGTTCCTGATGAAAGATGAAAGGATCCAGTTTCATATATATCAAGCAAAGAGTTTATTAAAAAAAAAAGAAGAAGAAGAAGAAACCCATTTCTAAAATTGAGCATGCACAATTCTCATAGAAAGCAAGTACGTGCCATCAATTTCACTACATCGAAACACAAATAAACACATCCAACCTCATCAAGGAGTCTGGACTTGATCAAACTAGCTAGTCATGATTTCTGTCTAGCTTATTGATCCAACAGCAAACACAACGAAAACAAAAAAAAACGCAAAAAAAAATGAAGCCAACTCGTTGTTGTTATTAGGTCCGTCCCGAGCCCCCATGCACGCATGATCACTAGTGCTTGCTGACGGTGGTCCTGGTGGTGGTCGCGGCGCTGCCGCTGTTGTCTGCAGCCATCCCCGCGGCGTTCTTCACCGCGTCGGACGCCCCCTGAGCCATGTTCTTGATCTGCTCTCCGGTCTGCTGGATGTACCCCGCAGCTTGCTCCTTGGTCTCTTGCGCGGCTTGCGACGCCTTGCTCACCAAATCGTCCTTCTTCACCTTAATTAATTTTGAGAGCAGGGATCGGAAAAAAAATTAAAACACGAGTTAGTTAATATTCTTCGCTCATATTTGCACTACGTACGTACGTACGGCGCCTCTTTGATGCTAGTTTTTTGAAATGTCTAACTACGACGACCACGTGATTTTTCGCTGATCATGCATGAAGCGCATGTAAGAAGTAGAACAAGGATGTTGATGATACAACAAGAAAAAGAAGAAAATTTGCAAAATAGACCTATTTTGCTAATTATTTAGCAAAACAGACTGTTTTGCTAAATATTTAGCAAAATAGACTTTTTTTGACAAACATGTCAAAACAGATGTCGATTTTGCAAAACAAACCATTCGAAACATACGGGACTAGTAGTCCCTTATGATTTAATCCCGTATGATTTAATGGGGGATTAAATCATAAGGGACTACTAGTCCCGTATGTTTCGAATGGTCTGTTTTGCAAAATCGACTTCTTTTTGGCCTGTTGGGAAAAAAAAGTTTTATTTTGCTAAATAAATATTTAGCAAAACGGTCTGTTTTGTTAAGCATTTAGCAAAATAGGTCTATTTTGCAAATTTTTCCTAAGAAAAATTGTGCCCTACACCGATTTATCCCCATCGTGAAAATACTACGGATATATAAAAATATTGGAAACAAGGCCACGGAATTAAAAGGAAAGAAAAAAATGGATGCATAGATGGGGTCTGACCTGGGCCTGGCCTGCAGCCTGGCCAGCCTGGAAACTCATGTTTGATTGGTCTGCCATTTCTTTGGTTTCTTTTCCTTCCTTCTCAGAATATTAATCACTCTTTTTTCTATAATTCTTTCCTCAATTGATGAGTTGGTGAATGCTCGAGGGAGGGTAATTTATAGAAAACGGTGGAGCACGTACGCGTTTAGGGGGGGGCGGTTGTAGATGAAGGCGGCTAGAATCAAGGGCTTCGACACGTGTCATGCAGGGCTTGGTTCGTAGCTATTCCG